ATGACCTCTGAAACGTTGGTTAACATCGACCAGACTACACAGCACAACAACCCAGAAGACGGAAATCTTCATACTCACCGCTGTGAGAACCTCAAGTCTTACATAATTATTTATTCTTTACAGGATGAATAACTAAGTGCCTTCCTCAAGGGGACTGCGATATGATGTTACTTAACGCTGTAAAGCAACCCACTTCATTTAGAAATCATTACTATTTGTGCCAGCATCCATTAATCTCTGTGAATTGAGGAACTTAACGAGTTCGTCCAGCGGAACGCCTGTTGATTATACAACCCGTAGAACAGGCGCGGGGCAGTAGAAAAGACGAGTCTATTTATTACTAAGAAATTAAAAAAATGATACAATCCGGGGGAAATATAGGAAAGTGAAACTGATAAAACAGTGACAGACAGCGAATAAAGACTCGAAAGAAGAGAGAAAGCGAGAGGAAAATAATTTGTGGAATTGTCCCATTTCATTATGTCGAAAATCCTCTTACCAGAATGCTTGAAGGGTGTGTGTAGCAAAAAAACGAAGGGATGGATGGGGAAGTTGTAGGCCGGGGCGAAGAAGCGAAGAAAATGACAGGGGCGGAACAGTGGAAGTTGTAAAAGAAAAGAATATTCTTAATATAGGAAGAGGAGTGATGAGAGGGTTTTTTTTTCTTTCAAAAGTATGAATTCGAGATTCTGAATCCTGCCGCAATTTTACAGGCCCGTGGAAAGGGGGGTGGGGGATTTCAAAAGAAAAAGATATTGTTCTCAAAGATACTAGGTAGGTTGGTAACAATAGACATCACAAGACATGGAGAAGTGATCGTATGGATAAAAATGAGAGGCGCAAGGCAGAGTCCTCTTTATCATGGTGGAGACACTAAACAAATAAGAGACTGTCGTCAGGCGCATGATTGGGGTTTAATTCCTCTGAGGGACTCTGTTATAACCCTGCAGTTTCCTTCTTATCTCGATATACGTGTAGCTTTTGATTAATGCGTTTCGCAGAGAACGTATTCCTCGTGGAACATCCAAAAATCAGATCCTGGCTAGAGATAAAAAAAGAAAAAGAAACTCGCTTATGCAATAGATGATGACAGTTTTCTATTCGTAACTAAAGAACAGAAAATAGAAGAAACAACGACGCAGCGTCGTCCCTGGGGAGCCATAAACAACAATAAACGTAGGCAACAGTTGACAATCGCTTTGCACGATCTACAAGGAAGTTATGGACGCACTGCAAATGAGAACAAAAATGAAATAGGTGCGCGCGTGGATGTTGTTCTGTTTTTGACGTAAATACGTCTTTACGGAAGGGTCAGCGTTAGTTACTAAGATGTGTAAGATCCAGCGCCGAGTCACCTTTAAATGTTCATTCTTCAGGAATGGTAAGAGTAAGGGTAACGTAACCTATACGTAGAATGATCAGTAAAGAAGGATCTTTAAGAATCCGTAATGTATTTTATTGTAATTATAATTGTATATACGTTTATTGTAATTTTAATGAACCAATGTGTACAATTTTCAATGGATCACGAGAAAAATTCTCAACGCTAGGTCATAAACATAACCTCAGTCGTTCAGTCTTGGGATCTTTCGTGGCTGGTGACATGCATTTAAGGGGTTACCTTTGTCATGAGCGAAATAAAACCCGCGTTTCGTTTTTCAGAAGTGCAAAAAAAAAGAACATGGCTGGTCTGCTGGTAATAGCTCCGTGTAATCTAGTACAAGTTTACCAACGTTTCACACCATCAATATAATCGTCCTGATGATGGAGGCAGCAAGGACCTGTGAAACGTTGGTAAACTTGTACTAGATTACACGGAGCTATTACCAGCAGAACAACCACGTTCGTCCTCACCGCCGTGAGAACTTCAAATCCTACTGAGTACAAACAAGTTTTCTATATCAAGTCTCCAATGGCGCCTGACGTATAGTCAACTAATACTACACGCATGTTCGGTGGAGTTGCCTGTGTAAGAATAAAGTAATTAAATCTGATAGAACGGTCATATCTTTAACGAGGTAGCTAATTAGTATTTTTTGAACACTACAGTGTAATACGTACGGCGTCTAGGGCACATTAATTAAATTTATTCCATCTGCTGTACCAATTACGGTTAACTGAAGTGTGTAATTCATACGGCGAAAAACTGGAATAAGAGCCACAGGGGAGAAACGTTAATTTTCCAAGGTTTAAGTGGAGTGTCAGTCTATGTCATATCATGTGACATGCATGTCAACCCCCCCCTCACCCGACCCACCCATCGCAATAAGTATTGTCGCGTGTAGCATCCAACAAACCTGACCCACAAAAGTGCTGCCATCTGTGTGAATAAACTGTAACTCTCCTTGGAGATGACACGAGAGAACAGAGAAAAATTAATGAATTGTACGAATGTAGTTTCGTTCCCCTACCGTCAGGGGGACAATAAGTCAATTGACTGTGATGGCGATTCGATCAGATTCCACCAATCGGTCTCCAGAAGCTATGAGGAAGGAGAGAGGAATTGAATTGGGTCCGGTCCGGAAGACATGTGGCAAATATAATCAGCGGTAATAAAATCATACACTGGAAAGCAAAAGACAATGCAAGCGAATGGGAAGAGTAGGATGCATGTTATTATCGGAATATTGTAGCATTTCATGGGAGGACAGTTAATATCACCACGTGGGAATTACGTGGAACTAAGTGATGACAGCGACGGTGATATTACTCTCGTCAAACAAAATAGTGAGGTTAGGTTAGTCCACACACCTTTCCGTAAACGAGAAGAAGAATATATTTAGGTAACCATGGAAACAGATTGTGTTCTTCCTTAAATTGTTATATGTTGTTCGCAGTGGCTGGGGACCTGCCCAGTTGAATGTGAAAGTACCAAGGCGGATAAAACTCAGATTATAACATATTTCATATAGAATTTCACGAAAATCGGTTTTCCTGTGGAAATGGGGGAAATTAACGAATGGTGAGATTTCAAATTCTCGCGGTGACGAGGTTCAAGACGATGACTGTCTTGTGGGATGCTGCGATCTATGGTCTGTACAAACTGACCGACGTTTTGCAGGTGCTTACAGCCTTCCATCAACAAGGTGATGAGTTAAAATCGCCTTGATGGCTTAGGCAGTGAACACCTCTGAAACGTCTGTTAATCCATGTGAGACAACGACCGATATCCTTGGCTTGGTAACTGGAGTGACAGTGGATGATGACAAGGAATTACAGGACGGCCGAGGGGAGGGGGTGTTGCAGAAATGAAGAAATATGCAGAAACAATTCATTGCCTGTTTTGTGGTACTTGTGTGGTGATACACAGGGTGATGCCACTCACCCACCTCAAGGCGTGAAGAAGTGCAGAACTCGTCGGCAATCTTCCTCAGGTCCTTGCCGACCTCCTTCCAGTTCTCGGTCGTCCGGTCGTCGTTGGGGACGCCTTGTTTCTTTTCATTGCAGCAGCAGCTGCTGGTGCGGCGTCTCGGGCGTCGTGGCGGACGGCGAGGACGTGGCCTGACGCCACCTTCAGGTGTGCCTCGTCTGGGAGGGGGAACGGGGGCATCTGATGGTGCTGCCGCTCTGATGTCGGTGATTGGAACTATGTCTGGAAGTGCAGGTATGCGTCGCATGGCGTCATTGCCAATGCCCTGCTCCTGGTTTCCATTAACAGATGGATCTGATCGCCCTGCCTCGTTGCCACCTCCACCACCGCCGTCTCTTGTTTGCGTATCTCTGTCTGCAAAATTAGAAAATTTTATTTATTAAGTGACACTGTAAATATATGAAGCAGTTGTTGCTGTTTCACCTATAATTACAAATAAAATTAGTTGAAATAATTTTATAGCGTCACTAGACATGACCTGAAAACAACTTACCCTTTAATTACTCTGTTGTATATCTAGCCTGCACGATAATACGTAGTCGGATTTATAATTCTTCTGGGTTGTACAAGGATTCCGCGTTGCGCTGTGGTTAGCTTCGCTAAATACTCGTCAGTGGAGTTTAACGTGTCCACCGTTTTGTTCTAGAAGACAACAAAATGGCTGGAATATCCTGTTCTCAGGAACTGTCCTCGATAGACTTGCTGGATAGATTACTTCCTTGTGTAGATCGTGTATAATACGATTCCAACGATTTAAAACGTTGTGATGTTTGCAGAAAACCATCACAAGAAGTAACAGCCAATAAGGACGTATGAAAAACTTCGTATAGATAATATGTAAAAGAATTCCGCCTTAACCTTTGAATATATGAGAACAAAATTACTCAAGAATCTAATCCACGGATCGCTGATTTATTATTGTTATATTTTTAACACTAATTTTTTTTAAAAAATTCTTTAATGTTGGTTCTGACATGTAAACCTACCTGAAACATTCAAACAACCGCCACTGTTCTTCTTCTATGAAGGAAAGTGACACGAAGCAGGTTCAGGGACATAACATGTACGCTGTATCCTTCCGCAACACAATTAGCAGGCCAGGAATGAACAAAACTCAAATAAATAAATTTAGTTATTTTATGATATGATAATGTTGCGTCATATTGTGTTGAATATATACTTGTTTAATTTTTTATCAGTCTAATCACAATAAAATATTATTATTAAATATTAAAATATTATTACAATTAACATTTAAATATTTAAAAATATATTAAAATGATTCTCTCTATCGAAATGTTCGATTTACATTAGAGCATCATCTTTTACACTACATGTTTCAGTTCTAAATGAACCATCTTCAGGTGTATAATCCATATAAACTCAAATGTAATATCTTAAGTGCAATCCTTCGTGTTATTTTAGTTGTATTTGTAGGTGATAAAAAGAAATTGAAATGTTTTTGATTATGCAACTGATCATTGCATGTCTTTATACGTGACTTTTGTTTCATTTTTCAGACTGCAGCACAAGAAATCCGCCATTTCAGAATAATGAAGACACCAAATGAGTAAGTTTCATGTGTTATCTGTTTTTATTACAGTACAGTAGTACTCAACAGTATACGGGACAAAACCGTGCGTTTCACTAGCTTGCCGGAAAAATGAAAACAGAAGTATGTACTAAAGACATTACCAAATTTAGGAACTGAGACAGCGAATTAAAAAGTACTGCCTTTGGGAAAAAATTGTTTATAGCGTCGACAGTGTTTGCTGCCAACCTACTATACCTCGCAACCCCTCTCACCCCCTTGCCTATTTTAACAGTCGCGAAACGCTGACATTCGTCCCGACTATGTGTACGAATTTCACTCCACGTCACGAAATAACAAACACAAAAATCATCTGAGTCTGTGTCCGCGTGGCGACAAGAAAAACAATTTACAGCCAAATAAGTAGCAGCTAATACACGTAATCGTTGGTGTCAAAGATGGAAACAAATACGCTGTTATTAGACACACATTTTAAAGTTTGAAGTTTTCCAAATATTGACCTTTAAGTCTGGATAAATATTATATGGATGGCCTCCCCTCTGGTGACAAGATAGACAGACTAACAGACAATAGACGACGTTGTAAACACACGTAAGATACACGACTGTCCACTGTTAGACTGTTGGTGTAACAGCGGCATATGTCGTTAGCAGGTCTTCAGAAAATAATCGGGACTACACAAAATGTTTTTCTTTTCTGTTTTTTTTTTGGGCACCTTGTAGACTTTTTGGCGTCCGTGGATGAGTCCACACGGCTCCGGAAAAAAAAAAAAAAATCAGTACGTACAGTTCCGAACGCCATTTTAATCCCGAAGAATTCGGTGCATGAATCACGATGTGCAAAATTTCTAATCGCTAAATAGTCCACAGTCAAAACTGATATTTTAAAAAGAATTTCACTGCGATTCACAAAACTAATGAAGGTGTGGTAAGGTAGTGTGCATTTGAGTCTACAATTTCTTAAATTTTGGTGAGATTACTACAAAACAAACACGCGTGAAATATGACCTCATACGTTGAAAATAGAACATAATTGTCTTGGCAGATTTCCCAACAAAATATAGGCCAACTAAAGCCTACAAGGCCATTTCCTCGAGGCCTGACAAAATTTTATCACTTGCGTGTGGCAAAGATAATAGTTTACGTACTAAGAAGATAATATTGACTTTATCCTGTAAATGAAACAGATTAAGAATACAGAGAGACTTGTCCGGTGCAAACAAGTTTATTTCTCTATCTGTTACTGAAGATACGCACACCTCATTCTTATCAATTCGTTGTTCGGTTGTCAAGGAATGTAGAATCAAGGTTTAGGAAATGAGTGAGGGATTAGAACATGTAGAAACTCCCTTTTCCGTTGGAACGCGTTGAAATTTCACAGAAGACGTAATATCTGCGATAATAGAAAACTTGTAAGCAAGGTCATATGCCCTAGTGTCATGAGATTCCTGATTGAGACACTTCAACGTTTCGAGCTCTTTATATAGAATATTTAGGTCATCGAATCGGAAGCGTATTTAAGTCATATATAATTCCATCCCACCTTAAAAAAAAAACACAACACCACGAAGATTACACACTACGAAGGTCTGCTGGTTAATGCTCTTTAGGGAAATAATTGCAGTTTACACCGAGAATCTTATCGAAACCCACGAATCGAGCAGTCGGAATGACGAGAAGGCGATGATAACATTAATTCGATTTTTGTAAAAGATGTGACGTAACTCTTTATATTTATAACTTCAACCACTGCGGATTGTATAATAATGAGTTCTGTGCATTTTGGTGCAGGAAACACGAAGCCAATATGGAGTTTATTCCGCGTGTTTCCATCGTCCTATTGAAAGAGATTAAAATTTTGTAAAAATAATAATAGGTTACAGTCCAATAAAAGAGGACTTTAATATTGTTTCTCGTATGCGTGCTTCAAGGCCCACCAGTCTCCACCTCCTTCGTTTAATGGCAGAGCAGAAGAGTAGAAATTATGGTGTTATTTTCCATCTCTTTGGTCCAGGATCGGATTCCATAAACCAATAGACACAGCAGCTATCGTAGCTTTAAATCTTAACCGGCGATCTGTATGTCAAATTCACAGCACTTAAGCAGCCAGTGTTAGACCTTATTGGATATAGCGTTTTTCTATCCGGGACCTGACAGGCCATATATACTTATAACAAATGCAGTCTTTCTAAGAAAACAGGGGACCCACTCACATAATCTCATATACCCTATCCCAGTCTATTTTTAAACTTCAGTGTAAGGGGAGAGAAAAGAACACAAGAGTCCTCTTTTATCCTCCCTGTTAACAAAATCCAAACAAAACCTTTCGCAAAGAGCTCCCATTTCTTTGACCTCTAAGTGACCCAAAAATCCACCTGCGTGCAAGGTGCCTGTAAAAACAGTTCCTCCCTCTTTGAAACCATTTTTTCTCCCTTGGGGCTTAAGGGAGATTTCACAAGTGAGATGCTATTTATACCTGGCTTACCATCCCTCGTGAAATCGGGTCCAGAGGTGGATGGATCCACACCTGTCTCTCTGTAGACAGACTGAAGACGGGGGGGGGGCCTTTCCTCCACCCCAACATGTCTTTCCCGTGATGCTCTTTTAAAGGGATGTCCAAAACTTTTATGAATAGATGAGAAGCTAACTCGCTCTGAACAAACTCGGTTTGTTGCAGATATTAGTTTTTTACACTGCAACCACGAAAAATTATTCCTAGACTATATCCGAAGATGATCCCATGAAATGTAATTCTTTTAGTAACAAGAATTGTTAATATTTGCTTATCGTTGGTGGGCCTGAGAATGGACACCCCTGTTCAAGGTGACCAGATGCCAGTGCACGTTTGAACAGGTTGTCTGAGATGGGGCACAAAGAGAGATGATGTCTGTGGACCCATAAACCTCTGTCACGGCAAACCAAACACTGGAGATAGGTTATAGATGCAAATCCTGTCACTTGGAAAGTGTGAAGGGCAAAGTTGATTAGCGCCCTCTCGGTTTTCGAACCGCTAACTTGATTCTGTTTGAGCTTAGGAATGTCAGTTCTCTTGTGTTTCGATCTTTTATCTGCCTTCCTCTTTATGTTTGTTATCGTGAAGTGTCCGTCTTAACCTTTGAAACAATTAACCTTTGAAACAAATTGGACGGATTTTCATGAAACTTGATCTGATCATGTCATTGATTCCCCTCCCCGATCATCGCATCTTTCGATTCCCTGACGAAAAATCTCCTCCTCGGTTCGTAAATTATCTTCGAAACGTGTTGTCTGAAGGTATCAAAATCACTGGGCATCGACGCCATTTTGATCTGCGACCGAGAGCTAATATTAACTAACAAAACCCGCATGTATCCAATGCAACGCTACATGCATCCTTGGGTCATCATCTGTGGCCATGAACATCCGCGCGCAACAGCGGTTTAAGTAGCAGATATTCCTTCCGGGTATAAAGGAAATGAAAAATCTGGCCTTGAGACCGCTTAAATGTCACGTTATACCTTCAGTTAAGCGAGAGGAAGTGTATTCGAGGCCCTCTTACCGAAACGTCGTCAGAATGTTACAGGCAGTCGCTGTCATTGGCACGTGTTACGCCATCATGATTCTCCGTTTTTTCCTTCAGAATATTATATATTTCTGCTCGTTTAAATACGTGTAGCTTGTAGTGTTTCTATGAAAGTTTGTTTCGAAAGTTATAATTTTTATTTATTTATTATGTCAGTCTAGGAATTAAAGCGAGAAGCCGAGAATAGGGACAACTGGAGAGCTCTTTTTGGGCAGAGCAATGGACCTGTCGTAAGACAGAA